GGAAGTACTTCCCGCAAACGCCCCACTTGCAGGGTCCCAGAAGAGAAGGCTTGTTCTGTGTCAGAGGCTTCAGACACCGGCACAGGCTTTGTTTCCGGAGGTCATTCCTTGATGTCTTCAGACATTCGATGGTTCTGTTGAAGGAGTCCACCTTGTGCCTGTGCAACGGCAGCGAGCAGCAGAAGCACCATCTTTCCCGTGATGAGACCCGAATCTTTTCTGCACCCTCCTGACAGGTTTGTGATGCGGAACCGGCATAACCCACAGATGCAGGGGTCGAAAAGATGCGGATGCCTGGTTGCACCGCCGATAGTGTCAAGGAAGCCTGTGGGCCGTGTGTCACAACCGGGACCGCTGCATCTTGCACGAGCTGCTTGTGATGCACCCATCTCTAATTCATCACGCATCGCCTACCGATCAGCTTCGGACCCGCGATTTAGATCTGCATGGGTTTGGGGCTAGGGGTGCCTGACAGGAGCTTTGCAGGCACGGCCTAGAAGGAAAAGTGGTACGTCAGGCTGTAGGCTCTAGACATCTCACCTTTCCCAGAGCTCAGCTATGTCAGCTCAGTTGAGGCGTTGCTGCGACCGTAAGGCCAGGGCGGCTCAGGCGGCTAAGGCTGGAGTTGAAGCCACCAAAGCTTCCGGGCAACTCGACGATTTCGATGCCTTGCAGTTAGTTTTGGCCGGGATGGATGCCACGTCTCTGTGACAGAGCTGGAGCCGTAGATGCAGAGCCCGGAGCAGACGCCTCCAAGGCGGAACCTTGGCGGGGTTTGGGCCTGGGCTGGGGTTTGCAGCGTTTGGTGAAGTGACTTGTGAACGCCTTTCGTGCCTCGGAATGCAGGGTCTGGGCTCCGAGTGCGCGAGACTTCTCCTTCTGGGCATGTGAGCTTGCTTGCAGTGCGGCGTACTCAGTGGCCACGGCGACACTCGCAACACCGTCCCTAGAAGCCAAAGCCGAACACACTACGACACAGTGCTTTCAACCCAAACAAAAGATTCAGACGTTTTGCACATCCGATTCCGATGAGTTGCAAAGATACTCAAGATGCATACGCGAGACCCGGTGCCGTCTCCTCCCTTCAGCCTCGAAATCTCGTGGGTGTTCCTGCCTCCGCTGCTGGTGCTCATCGTTGGAAGGACATCCCTGACAGAAGTCTTCTGTTAGCACTGGGAGCTTACCTGCGTCTTTCGGGAAGTTCTGCAGGCGTCATCTTGCAACATCTCGATGTGACAGCAACCTCTGAGAAATGTCAAACGGTGAAGCGATTGAAGTAGGCAGGACTGCACATTGATGTTTATGAATGCTCGGGGAACAGTAAGTTGAAGGAACAGGCATCAAAGGCAGCCTCAGGCCGAAGCACGGCGACCAAGCAAGCTACACGTGGAACAAGGCAGTGCTTGGTGTCGAGATGCCACGGACACCTGCAACGCCACCGAAGCAACGCGGACATCATGAAGCCATCAGATGCATCTTGACATTGCCGGCACCAGCCCAAAGGGCCTAACGGTGGGCGTCTGCAACTGTTTCACATGCACGTGATGTTTGTGTCCCCTCACCTCTGCGGTCATGCCTTGCTGCACTGGCAATGGGAGCCGGGGGCAACAAGTTCGCATGGGTCGCTTTACACACGTTTCGCCTGTTAGCCTACAAGCCGATAAACCACAATCTTCATTTGGGGCAAAGCTTTGCACCGGCGCTTGATCCAGAAGGCGCAGCCTCACGGTGATGCGTTGAGCCCTGCCAGAGGCTCTTGAGCGAAAGTTTGGTCTGCAAAGCTTTTCCGCTGATTTCTCAATAAAAACTCAGGCGTTGAGGGCTCAGAATAACTGTTTCCATTTTACATTCTGTCCAAGACCCACTCAGCCACGCACCTGGGGGCTCAATTGTTTTGTCGGACCTGTCAATTCCAAGCATTCTGGAGCAGCGGGACTACAGCTGCGGGTCGCGGATCTGCCTTGAGTTGCTAGGAATTCCGTGGCGCTGGAGCATTTGAAGCTTTTTCCGTGCCGGACGGGTTGACTGTGCGGCCGATCCTTTCCCGTGTTGCTCCTGGTCGCGTCAAGGTTGGACAAGGACGGCTGTCCGAGCAGCCTAGCATGGATGATCTAGCAAACTACTTGTCCGCACTTCTTCCCCCTAAATGCACAAGCCATCAAAACTCCGAAGCTGAACTACCGGCATCGTAGACATGGCGAAAAGCATGGTGGCAAGCTTTGGATCTTGCGACGAAGACACAAAGCCAGCGTGCAAGCCAGCCTTGAGACTTCAAACTGTGGATACGGCCTGAGCAGCTTCAGCTCGTGTGACTTCCGGCTCGGCGGCGCTCGGTGGCTCGGGTACCGAGGCCAGCTCGCTGAAGTTCAGTTTTAAACCACTGCAGAGCAGTGGTACATCACAAGCTAGGCCTTTTAGGCCTTTGCAGCCGTTGATCCGCTGGCAAAGCCGACATTCGGAAACCCCCCGGAAGACTCGCTGGGAGCCCACCTCCACTCCTTCTCCTGGAGCACCGAAAGCTAGCTGAAGAACTTGCTTGCCCCTAAGGCATGTGACGATGACCTGGTTGGCTGTGCATCTTATTGAAGCTCGCGTGAAAGTTGAGACCGTCCGGGTCAGCCCATTGTTGGTTCGACTTCGTTTTAATGTGTTCGCAGGGTTGCAAACAAGTTTTGTTGGCAGGGGTGCGAACGAGGTTTATGCACCACATGTAGTTGCTCCTGCGGTGATGAAACTCCGAGCTGTGCCACGAGCCACTCAATTTCTCAGATGGGCGAAGATTCCCGCCGGACCTTTGGACCTGTAGCCTCTCGGCCTTTCGTCACTTCCAAAATCCGACATCGCGCCGCAGTCCTTGTCGGCTGCACGAATTCACGGGACTCAATGTCAGGCTGACACGGCGATTACAGGAACGGCCATCTAGCCACGATGCAGCTTGACTCAACCCGCGCCTCCGCCGCCGCCGCCGCCAGGCAAGACATGTTTTCAATCCCGCCGTGACCGCCCTGAGCGCCATCGGGCGTGACAAGCTCGTGCCTGCCGTCCCGTCCTAGCCAATCAGCTTCACCACTCGGCCATATCTTGAAAAGCAGTTGCACCGTGTCTGGAACATGGAACATATGGAGCCACGCAAAGCAATGGCTGTGAGGATAAAAAGCCTCCTCGCAATCCTGCGTTTGTTTCTCGGGGCGCAGCATGGGATATCAGTCTTACCGAACTTTTATCGAACCTACCAATTTGTAGGAAGATTGCAATTGTTGGGTTAGTGGTTGTTGCGGGAAGGCCGCTGGCGGCTGTGCGCTGTGCTCTGATCAGTGGTTTCGAAGTGCAGCCACTTCAAAGGTACTAGTCCTTCGCAGTCTCAGCAGAATAGCATTATGCATGGACAAGCATTTTCGCCACTTCTTTCTACCTTGTCGAAGCTCCTTGAGTGCACGTTCCTGTAGATGTGTCTGCGCATGTTGGTGAGGCATCGCTGAAGTCTGAAGGTTCCCAGATGCGTCTTTTTTTCGGATCGACTTCTTCATGTCATGTCTGTTGCTGCATTAACGGTGATGTTGGGTATGCTGGTGGCGAGGTCGAGACGCTGTTGAGACTGGTGTGGAGCGACAGACACTGTGAGGTTTGGACAGCACTATTAGAACTTTCTGCTTGAGTGGGAATACGTGTCACAAGCCTTTCGGTCCGACCGAGCAGCTCAGCACCGCGCCCTAATGCACTCACTCGTCATTTCGGCTCAAGTCAAAGTTAACCGGCTGGGAGGAACATATGCCGTTGTCATCGGGGCCAGAGGCAGGCTTGCCACAGTTTGCAGTCCTGTGAAAAAAGCAGCAGTCGCAAGTCTTGTTGACAGCTGTCGGCCCTCAGAAGGGATTCAGATTACGATGCTCTTTTGTCCTAAAGTTGAACTTGCCCCAGCGGAAACATACAGAGGTGATCCGGTTGCAACAGTGTTGAGTCCTCTGGCAGAAGATATGTTCAAGCTGTTGTGTCCTGCATGTTTGCCAGCAACATTCATGCAGTCATGTCTCTGTCAATCTTGCACAGGCTTGTGCCTTCGGCCCCCAACCGGGGGTGGCAATCTCTCAAAATCCTCAAGTACCGAACCAGGGTGACTTGCAATGATTCGATAATGTTAATTTGGATGGACTTTCACATGGCTTCTATCTCATTGAGTTCCCAACATGGTGTAGTCTCGGAAACATCAGCATCTACATGTCGTGGGCGGGAATGCAAAGTGCTTCATCTCTCAACTTGAGCCGCAAAGTCGGCTTTGCTTCTGGGCAGCCAGGATGTTCGGCGGCGAGTCGCAAAGGCCCAGGCCTGTGGCTGGGAGGGGACCCCAACATACTCTGTGCTCATCTTCTCGACGCGTGAAGAGCGTGGATGCGGCGAGTCCTGCGTTGTAACTCGGGGATTTGCTTTCTGTGATGCATCCCCCCTTGCATCCTTGCACAGTTCGCAAAGTGCAGAAAGATCTTTATTCGAAGGCGATTACATAGGGTTGAGGTCGTCAAGGTGGAGCGACTTGTCTCCGTTTGCAGGAAGAATGAATTCCAAGGTGGGCAGTTCTCAATCGCCACTTTTCGCTTCCGGGAGCCTTGCCTCAGCTGTGGTTTGTGAGGAAGGGTCTGTTCCAGTGGACACCTCACCTGTTTCAATGGGTCAAAGGGCCACGAGAGTGGAGAGCCTACTCGACAGCCAGCAACCAGTTACCGGCAGGCGGCAGCCGCACTATGCCCAGACAACCCAAGCGAATGGAGACGCCTTGCTGAATCATCTTGATGATAAATTTCAGTCATGGAGCATTGCAAGGACTTGGGAATTTGCGGAGATTGATGGTCACAGGACGTGTGAGGTTTGACGAGATGAGAGTTTCCTCGAGACTTAGTCTGGCCAGGGTAGGCAGCATGCTCTTCCCGTGCTTCTGGTGCTTGATTCGAACTTGTTGTCTCTGGTTTGTTGCAGTTAGAACACCAGCTTGGAGATGATTTCCTGGGAAGCCCTGCTTCAACTCATCGCTTCGGTGCCACATCCAACATGTGAGTTTGCTATCGCCTTTCGCGGACAATTTACAAATTCAATCTGGAAATGCCATCTTAGCGATCCTTCTTGGGCTCTTCTCAGGCCAATGAGTTCTCCAACCACGAGCAGGACATTATTAGACAGTCCTTCAGCAGGGAGCCCGAGTCTTTAAAAGAGCGTTCGACGTCCCCTCGCACCGGCCAGCCTAGGGTCTTCCCCAGTCGCCAGGCACTGGGAACCACACTTGGATGAAAGAGTCCCTCCCAGTGGAACTTGGGTCCGTGCCCGAGTGTCAAGCCTTGAAGGCTCAAGGCCATCAAGGCCCCAAGGCCTACATGACCTGACATCACAGGCCACTTTGAGGCGACCGCACTGACGAGTGTGTTGCGACATCAAGGACAGCAAGAGCTTTGCTCCCTTTTCTTACGCATGCATCCGAAATGGCGAAGGTGCTGGCAACGTGACGAAATCATGTTTAGCACAAGCCACTTCCGAAGTTTCTGAGCACTGAGGCCCGATGCCATCCATTTGCTCCGTCGCCAGAAAATGGAGCGAAATCGCTTGGCCGAGCCGGTGCCACAGACCTGGCGACTCGGCAGCGTCTTTCGAGCTGTTGGGAATTGCGCATGAGTGCGAAATCCATTCAACAAAAGCACGGTATCATCAGGTCCAAGATGACGCAGCTCTGGGGAGGGGGCTACTACCAGGCCACCGGCTGTGACAGTTTGCTGGCCTCAAAGCATGGAGCAAAGGCCCTTGTAGAGATTTTGAAATGTCACCTTATAGCGTCGGACCGTGTGCCTAAGCATCGCAGGAGTTTGAGTACATGCCGGAAGAGTACAAGGACCTTTTGAGCTGCGCGTTCGTCCACAAGTTTTACAGCTCCGGAAACTGACTCGCTGACTCACTGACCGGTGCAGGACAAGAGGGGCCTGCTCCCGAGGCTAGACGTTTGTTATGGACCTCCCGTTGTTCAGAACAACAAAAGTCGGTTCAGGTTGTTCGAATGTCGCTGCGTATCAAGGTGTTTGAAGCTTGCCCCAGCTGTTTTATTTGGGTGTGGGTGTGGGCACGATTCAGTCATCAGGGGCTCAAAGGAATCGGCCGTGGGCCGTGGATGTTCGTTTCCTTCGTCCTTTCGCCCGCTTTGAGTCTTGAGGACGCCTCGGAACTCTGAAGCGATCAGCCCTGCCCGCCCTGCCCCGCACGAATCCAAGCTCTGGGCCTTGGCACGTGGAAAGTGTCTGCAGGCAAGCGGATCCAGACAAGCGGTCCAAGATCGCAAACCACGACTGGCGCTACAACTCTCAGGATGGGTTGCTTGAGCCTCTCGAATCTTCCTCCAACCAAACACTGTCAGAAGCCTCTTTACAGTGACGATGCCAGGAGAAGAGGCTCAAGCACGAGCCCATGCTCAACAACCTCAGTGCTGACAAGGAGTCACGCTGCCACGTTAGAAGGATCTTCATCGAAGGCCGTGTCTTGGGGCACTGAGCGGCTGAGCCCCATCATGGCTTGAGGCCGAGGCATGCCGGGGCCGCCGCCTTCCTTTGCGTGCGCTTCCCTTTCCAAGTCTCCATGCCAGGCAGTACCCATACCTGGGTGGCGACAAGGATGCTGAGCTCGAGGCCGATGGGGGAAGCGCACGGGTATGATGGTGAGAGGGAACCCGATGACGATGCGATGATAGCCAATTTGCAGTGACCACGCTGTCGAAATTTGCTGAAGGAGCTAGCAGCTAGATGATAATGCCGCTGCCGATGCTAGCTTCGATGCTCTTTATGCCGCCGCTGCTGTCAGTTATAACGCGCGATTTGAGATTCAAGCTTGAATAGTGACACAGTGGCTTTGGCCTTCAACGTACCGGCAATTGAACTGTGAAGGCAACGAAGCTGTTCCTTCGCTCGGTGGCCGTCGGCGCCAAGACGACACTGAACAAGTTGGGTGCCCTGCTGGCGGCAGCAGCAGAAGAAGACGTTGAGCAACAAGGTATACAAGTCTCGATCAGCAGCCTGTACACCTGAGCCCTGAACCATGTCGTAGAATTCGTACAACCCCAACGACCTTTATGAACCACGAGCCGGCCTGCTGAGCCGGACGGCTCCATTTGTTGGTTGCACCGCAACTGGGAGAGCTCTTATCCAAGCACCCCTAGACCCTGAGTACCCAGGTCGCAGGAGAAGTTTCTGCAGTCGAAGCAGTCAGCCAACATGTCCGCCTGGATGCAGGACCTGAAGGTTTACAATTCCCTGTCATTGGCGCTCAGGGATTGTCGTAGGGCCGAGAACTTGCAGTTGAGATTCTGGCTTCGCGCGGCTCTCATGCGTAGATGTGGGTGAGATTTGCATCATCATTACGCAGAAGCTGAAATTAGGGCACTCAGAGTACCCTAGGCCAGCTGCTTCATGCAGGACAAAGCTCAGATGACCTCAGAAAGTTCATTTCTAGCCGGCCGAGGCGAGGATGCCAGCACCCCGCATGAGCCACTGGTCGCCCCAGATTCGCCCGACATGAGGGGTGGGTTCTCACCCGGCAGGTAAGGGCCTGGACGACAACTCTCGAAGTAGCCGCATGACTCTGCCGATTATGGCTTGCTCCTCAGACCCAGCGAGCCTGAGATGCAAGGCTCGGGTCCCCCAGATTCCTCAAACCCGCCTTTCAGGTTCAGCGCCTTCAGAGGAAGATTGACCAAGATTGGGAGGGATCGACCGTGGTGGTCAGTGCGACGGATCAGGCGAGGCGGTGGAAGCAAGAGTATGAGAGTGCGCTACTTCTTCGTCCAGGATTCAGGGATGTCTACCCTAGCGGGTTCAAGACCTGCCTTCGAGCTGCGCTACAGAAAGCTCAACATACGGGATACAGGAATGCACTAAGGCGGTTCTAACGGGAGGAGGCTACATGAGCAGGGCCGGTGCAGGGGATATGTCATGTTTTTCCTAGTTCAGGATCATTGGATCCTGGCAGGACCTGATCCAAGTCGCTTTCCACATGCACACGGTGGACTCGGAGCGCGGCGTTGTCGCGTGCTGCCATGACAGCATGACCGGGTCGGTTTTCTCTGTTTCCTCGAAGCCACCATTTCGAAAGAGTATTTTTCCGGTTGAAGCCTCTAAGATTTCAGTTACTCCACTGCCACACCTGTTGTCCAGGTACATGGGAGTTCTGTCCAAGGACATTGACCTCCTGGGTACGCTTGGGCTCCGCAAGGCTGAATGCTGTCGACATTTTTTTGTCCAGAAGATCGGTGCACATGGGGCTTACCGGGGCCAGCTCCCGCTCCTGCAAGCCCCATTCAATACAACAACCGATATTACAGCCTCAATGCAACATAGCAGTAGGAGGATACACCGATACAGGTTTATGTTATGGACATGCATAGGTGGGTGGGCGGGCAGGTAAGTGGGTAATAATAATGAATGTGTGGAAGTAAGCACGTATATTGAGATTTGAGATACGTATATACACACACAGATATATATATATATGTATGTATGCACATTTTGTTTGTTTGTTTGTTTGTCTGTTTGTTTGTTTGTTTGTTTGTAAGTAAGTAAGTAAGTAAGTATGTAAGTAAGTATATAAGTAAGTAGATACGTCTGTCTGTCTGTCTGTCTGTCTGTCTGTTTGTCTGTGTGTCTGTCTGTCTGTCTGTCTGAATGTATGTATGTATGTATGTATGTATGGTATTATATATATATGTGTATGTATACATACATGCATACATGCATACATGTATGCATATGTACATAATATTTTGGTTGCATGCATACATGCATACGTGCAACCTAAATACAAAACATACATTCATAGAGATAGATAAAAAAGTAAAGAAATACATCTATATATACATATATATACATATATAGATGTATACATATATATATATATACATCTATATATATATACACATACATACACATATATATATATATTTTTTTTCACATATACATATATATATACATACATACATACATACATACATACATACATATGCATATCTACGTATGCAATTGTGTCGATGTGACCCTCTTTACTGCGTTGATCCCGGGGTTTATTCAGGATGCGGCGTTTCTTTGGTCGTCTTCTACAATGCGCTTTTCTTTTACCCTGCCGACGTTTTGGTTTGCTTTTTTCCTTTCTGCTAATGTCAATCTTGATTGCTTTGATGATAACAAGAGGAGGCCCGAGGCGTGAGTGACTTTGAAGGCATTTTACTATTTTCTGAGGTACTACAGTGCTCTTGTACTTCCCTACTATTGTGCAGATTGTGCTACCGTACTGTTGTGCCGGTGTGCTATCATGCTACCGTATTCTGTTACTTACTACTGTCCGGTTGGACTACTGGACTATTGTATGACCGTACCATTGTACTACTCTACCATTGTTATTACCAACTACTGTACTATTGTGCTAATATACATTTGCACTACTGTACCATTGTTACTATGAAAGACTGTACTATTTTATTACTGTGCCAGTGTACTTGTGTAGCACTCCACGGGACGGCAGGGTCTGGGGAGCATCCGGGGATCAAGGCAAGGCGACAACTTTTGGTCGGGGGGCCCCTTCCACTAAACCCAGTGCAACATTAGTAGCTATAGCTGTGAAAGTACGTATCTCCTCTCTCTACGTGTACCATTGTGGCAGAAGACGCACGCATGTTCAGTGCCCAATACTGTGTGCTTCGAAATGCTATGATGTGCAGTTCTGACGTTCAGACCACACCGGGAACTGCTAGGGCTTCTATGCACGATTTTCTTTTTCCGGGTGCTGGGAATACGCGTGTGCACACACATCACGTAAGTTGATACGAATAAACCAATGAAAGGTTTTAATAAATGCATACATGTATACATGTATACGTGTATGTAAAAGCACATACATATATATGTAGATGTAGATGTAGATGTGTGTACATGTAGGCATGTACGTGTTTGTGTATGTAAGTATTTATGTATGTATGTGTTCATATGTGCATGTATGTATGTATGTACGTATGTATGTGTGTATGTATGTATGTCTGCATGTATATCTGTATGTATATGTATGTATATGTATGTATATGTATATATATATATATATAGAGGTATACGCCTCACATAACATGGTACATGGTGCCCGGATGTCTCTGTATATGCATGTATGTGCAAAGATGTGCACACAGGAACAGAAATATTGGCAGGTGCATGTACACGAACAGATTTACACGCATTAAGGTAGGGTCCTGCTCAGCCCAATGGGCAAGCCCCAGAGGTCAGCCAGCTCTGGGGAATGCAGAGGGATTTCAGCGACGAGCTTCCCGCAGGAGACGGAGCTGGAGCCTCACATATCGCTTAGGGTTTGGCTAAAATTGCCGTGCAAGACTGCTAGTTGGCGATTCGGACTGGCGTGTACCGGAATGATATGAAATGGCTGGGCGTGATCTAGCTTGATCTCCTTTCTTTCTGTGTGGTTGGCTGCATGGGGCAGCCCCCGTCACAGGTGACACCAGTGTCGATAGCAATGGGATACTTGGGATGTACCGGTGGATATACCTGCATCTTGGCCAGGACACTGGGGAAGCTCCAGCACAGGTCGTTGCTAGCAGCTCATAGGAGCTGGAACCCACTGTGAACTGAGGCGAAGTTCCGAAAATGTATTCGCGCGTGTCGGTACGGTATCAGTTCGAGTTCCGGCGTGTTGAAATGGCTAGGCTGCTCGACTGCCCGAGGCCGAGCCTGGTGAGCACACCTGGATGTTCTTCCTGCTGGCTCCAAAGTGCTTTGGTTGCAACGGTTTGAATCTCTGATTTCCCCACTATTGCACTTTATGCCTCAGAGCCTTGAAGCTGACAGTGTCTGACAAAGTTTGGCAAGGTGGGTCAAGATGCGGCCCACCGACGCTTACTACACGGTGCATCCCAGGTCGCAGGCTTGCACGTCTGGCATTTGCAGTTTGGGCTGTCGCGAAGACACTGCATCGACTACGCAGCAACAGCTGCAAGAATTGGAAACGATAATGCTGCTGCATCTCACACCATCAAGACCACTACTGATGCGTCTACCTCTACTTCCGCTATCACTGCTAGTGCAGCCAGTGCTGCTACTCTTCTACTACTGCTACTTCTGCTACTACAGTTAGTACTGCTACTGCGGCTACTAGTGATACTACGGCTACCTACCGTGCTACTGCTGCTGCTCCTCCTGCTTTTCCGGCCACTGCAACTGCTCTGCTCCGCTGCTCTGCTGCTCTGCTGCTTCTATGGCCACGGCTTCCAGGTGGTGGTGGTGGTGGTGGTAGTAGCAGTAGTAGCAGCAGCAGTAGCATACTGTTACTTCTGCTACCGCAACTACGACTGCTATTCCCACCACTCCTACTACTACTACTACTACTACTACTACTACTGCTACTACTACTACTACTACTACTACTCCTACTACTACTAGTACTACTACTACTACTACTACTACTACTACTACTACTACTAACACTACTGATACTAGTGCTACTGCTGCTACTGCTACTGCTACTGCTACTGCTACTGCTACTACTACTACTACTACTCCTCTACTACTACTACTACTACTACTCCTCCTCTACTACTACTACTACTACTACTACCACTACTAATACT